ATAAGAATTACGGTGTCCTCGGCTGAGACCCACCGGCTAGTCCCTTTACTAGACTTATACGGTGCCGTCTATTGGGTCACCGGCTTGCCGCTTGACAAGGCTTAACGTGAACTGGGGAGCGAGTGCCCACTATGGGTCGACTCAACCTCTTGGTGCTACCAATTAAAATTTCGACAAGCTATTCCTGTCAAGGTTATACGGCAGGCATAATATATCCCACGTGGGGACTTACCGTGAGCGTACGCGCTTGTTAGACTTAGAAAGTTCTGCTCTGTATTAACTACCTCTTTTACTCTTCAGTGAGGGTCACGTGAGTGGCTCTTTCCCTCTCACCTATCACCTCTAAATAAACTCATTTTCGAATGATGAAAAATCTTCGCATCCTCCTACTCGTTGAGGTTTGGACTCGACAAGATTTGGACTCGTTAAGGTCTAACTCGTCGAGGGTCAAAATCGTCGTGGTTCCAATCGTCAAAGTCTATCTCGTCGAGGTCTAACACGTCGATCCCAAAGTCGTCAAAAGTAAACTATGAGAGTTCTATCTCGACGAAGTCGATCTCGTTGAGGTCAAACACATCGAGGTCAAACTCGTCGAGACCTCTTCGTCGACGGCCTAACTCGTCGGATTCCAACTCGTCGAGGTCAAACTCTTCGATACCTTTTCGTCGAGGCCTAATATGTCGAGGTCCAACTCGTCGAGGATTATCCAGTTGGCGTATAATTACCAAAGATCTTTTTCTGTATCGCAATCGGCTTGTAAAATGGAGTCGGACTTAAACGTCTAGGTGTTCAACCTGGACCTTCCGGGAATTCCTCAATATACCTAGAATGTTTTTAAGCGATCGCTCTAACCATGCGCTAATTCGTCAAAAGATCAGGATGCCGTATTACCAATAGCTCGAGGACTGTGGCGTTTTGTAGTATCGACGACACTTCATGCCATCCGGGTAGAGCGCCTCCACCGCATGGGCGACTCGTCCTTGACACAGAAAGTACATACAGCCAGATCCAAGACCCTGTTTTGATGGTCAGTAGACGATTTCGTGGTCCAACAGACCAGCCCGGCATGGGTTTAGACGGGCAACTCATTGTAAAAGTAAGATCAGCATTGGCTGATACTCTCCTCCGCTCCGGAGACCCGCCTGCGTTGCACATGCTGCCTATAGAGTGGTGCTCTGATGTGATGTACTCCAGTTTTCTGACGGAGTATGCCGCGTCAACACAGGTCCGTGAGGGGGTTGGATTAGTCATTGTCTGACTCCAAGATCAGACGCACGCATCTTGCGTTTTGTGGATATTGTAACTGAGCAGCCCGTTACATAAAATTGTCATTAAGAAGAAAATGGAAATCGAGAATATTGCGCTGAATTTTATCTTAACAATATCACGAAGCACAGTGATATTGTTGGGCTGATTGAAGGGTCTACTCATTGGTTAATATCGTGATGATATAAACCTACCAATCGCTGCTAGACGCGCGCAATGGGTGGTAAGTAGACGTCTTCATACGTTTAGTTATATAATATAATTAAGTCAGGACAAAGAAGAGAAACAAGAGAAATGAGACTTAATTTTAATTAAATAACAGTTTTACTTTTACTACGATTAGAGTCTTCACCTTAGTCGCTTACCTTCCTCTGTATTAATGTTATTCATAGCAGGGCGCTGACCTTCACTGTTGTCAGTATAAGTCAATTCCGTACTGGCAGAGCAGTACGAAGTCGTCGGTGTCCCGTTACAGGTATCTTATGGTTTTCCGATACCACTAAGATGTTGCGGAATCTTCGGCCTCATTTACAGTCTTTGACAAGCGAAAGCCAATGGTCATCATCTGCCTATGCATGTCATTGGGGGCAGTGTGCTAGTGCTTCCGCAAGTACAAAATCTATACCCTCCACGCAAGCCACATTCGGTGCGTTTTTTTTCGACAAGCACGCATCATCTCTATTGCCTCATGCTCATGGAAGTCATCAAAACCTGAGACAAAACACTTGTTATCGACCAGCGGCATCGTTCAGATGCACACCACGAGAGGCTTATGCACACACCGTCTTCTTTCGCAACCAGCAACACGCCAGTAAGATACATTCCTTCAATATCCAGCCATTGATCGTACCACACTCTGAGAGTGTGCTACAGCAGTAGTTGGGCGGGCGCACAGCACAATTTGCCATTATCATACCAGGCAATGCTACCATCTATAGTATCGACACACAGATAAGTGTGAGTCATAGCAATAATCCCCCGCTCTCTTTTCTCATGACTTCGATGACCAATAAGACTTTACTTGGAAGCATATGGATCTGTCATTGACGAACGGCCTAGCTCTCGAGATCGAAAAGCTGTGAGCGAGAGCGATCCGGATGAGGATATCCCGGTTGTGCAAGGACGTTGTAAGAGATAATACCGCAAACATGTAGATTGCGTGTGAGGCACACGAACGGTCGCTAAGCGATATTGAATCGCTGACCTTTAGCTTACGAAAAGATTTCTCTGTCAAATGGATTCTACGACTGCACGACGACAGTGAACCGTGTAGGCTTCAATCAATACCACAAGCAACAAATCGAATACATCTGGACTGTACACTCGCAAACACGTCTTCTACCGCATCGAAGATTCTAACACGACCATCAAAAACTGGCCGATACCCCACGTCGTTGAGCTCGCTGCTACGACGTGGTGAACTATCCTGACAGCACAGTCGTCACGCAGTCGTCGCGCAAGCCAATTGTGATGCCAGGCAGTGCTTCATTTGATGTTGCTGATATCAATGTCTCCAGTTTGGAACATCATACAACAAAATGGCGGATCTACTGGCAAATATCGCTATGGACACAGGAACTTCTAAGGAAGTACATACTCCTTCCGACCAAGGTATTGTCAATAAGACTGCAACTTTTATCGACAATAATGTCAACCACTAGCTGGAGGCCTCTCACACCGACCACCATGCAATACGTCGCCTCGCACTGACCTAAAGAGGAACCTGATCATCTCTAGGCGAGAGTTTGCTCGTAGGCGCTCTGCTGTCCGGGGTTTATTGCTACCAATAATATAAAGTAGTCGTCGCCGCGGCCTAAGTTAGTTGCCCAGCGAATGGGTATAGTATAGTGGAACGTACGCGTACCGAGATACAGCTAATCTTCTCACCTCACCTGTCTACTGCTTTTATCTCCTCATCTCATAATCTCTCCAAACATCTGCTGACCTGTAGAGAGCGCTTACCCAGTTCAAATTCACCAACGACCTTTTGCTTTCGCACAGCAAATTGTTCTCCTTGCCGTGCAGCCCCGCTCCTTCTGAGTAGATCATGTGACGTGAGTGCTATGCGCTGCTTGTTCAGTCTTCATGTCGTGGTATGGGTTTCTGCATATCGCGGCCACGCCCTCGTAGTCATGGATGAAGTTTGCTGCCTCTTAAGAAAATTTGGCCCCCCGATGTGTAGACTGCGGCAACATGCTGCACAGGACGTGATTATCGTGTGCAACGATTGAGTAGTTACAGGGGCCAATACGGAAAACCGTGGACGTACGAGCATCGAAAAAAAAGAATTGCCGAAAGATAGATGTGCGAGGCCCTAGTTCCTTATGCAATGTAGACTGGAACAGAGATCACACCTTTGACGATGTCTATTTTACACTGAGGTATTTCGAAGGTTATAAATGCAGTCATCTCTAGCTCTGCTGACACAGGGCCTGATTGTAAGTGAATGGAAGAAATGGATTAGGCAGCTCGCGCATTTCTTGTAGTTGAGGAGTGAAAGCATGTCCGCTATGACACACATTGGCCCTAGTAGAGGTCACACGTAACTGGTGAACACACGTATCTGGTGAATAAAGGCCGAGTGAAGTCCGGACCCTGATCTGCCTCGTCATCGTAAGATCCCGGTAATGCTAGCATCCAAGGAGCAGGCGCAGACATGTCTGACCAACATAGCCAACATGTCTATGTTGGTGATGCGGCCAAGATTTATTGGAGAAGCCATGATTGATTAAGACCACAACGACTCTACGTACTGTGCGGTCATCCCATGACAGAGGGGACACGTATGATAGTTACACGATGGCTCTGTAGATGAAGAGGACAACGTGTTCGGGCCGTCATAGACGTCGCCACATACGTACAGCACAAGGCCAGTCATGACCGAGCGACCTTTGAGCCAACGAGGACGACTGAGTAAGCCTGCCAAGCGGCAGTTTGTTAGTTGTGCAATCAACCAAATCTGAGTCAAAGCATAAGCACGATGAATACAGGGCGTGAGGTCAAAAGCTCGGTCTTACCGCCATCCAGCTAATCGGGGCGCCGGGAACCCGTTCGAAAGGATCTGCTACTCGACCGCATGCTTCGGCGCTAGTTTGGTCGTTTATGAAGCGAGCTTTGCGTCGACGTGTCTACGTGACACAACCGAAGTAGAGAATGTATAGGGAAAGCCTGTCCAGTGATTGTTTGCATTTGCCTTGAGAAGTACGTGATAAGGATGTCGAGCCACGCAGCCATTCGAGACAAAGATATACAGCAGTCCAATGATGGGATGGTACCGGCAGAAGCCACATTCGGGTTACTAGATGAGGACTACTCACGCCAAGTTGTTCCACCGCCGAGAAGACAAAGCACTTCTTTATCGCACCGCACAAGATAATTCGCTCACGTTCGTCTTGCTGACGGTCAATTGGCAAACGTTTATCGCCCGGATTACACACTACGTTTTCGTGCAGTGTACGCGGTGAGCTTCCCCTCGTAGACAGACGGAGAAACCACTCACTTCGACTGACTTGCCGATCGGTAGCCGCAAGTGTATCAAACTTACAGACACGTTGCTGTGATCCTACTGTTTGCTCGATATCGCCCGCAACGAAATGCTCGAGGGCTTTGCAATAATGCCCGCTACGTACGCATCCACGAGCGTTACAGGCACCGCATTTACGACATATCCCCGCCACCTGCATACCAGCGCAGCCAGTCTCCTGTTCACGGGCTGGCGGACAGCATGCGCTTGTTTACTCAACGGCAATGTCCACGCTCGGGCGCATCGACGCGCACACTTCCAGCACCTCGTGGATCTTGTGGTTCTTAAACTCGCTCATGATCGTGGCTTCGTCCTTGATCTCGTTGTCGTCCACCGCAACGTACGCTTGCTCCGTCAGAATGTAGTCGAAACGAGGCGCCCACTTGCGAGAGCCGAGACGCGCCGTCGTAGAGCAGTTGTCCACCATATAGGCGACGCCGCGGGCGTGCATGTACGGGTTCAAAGAGTCCACCGACTCAATCACCGACTCATTGGCGACCTCCGAGTAGCAGTGGCCGTGGCTGATCAACACATCGATCTGGGCCATCATCATGGCCACGTACGTGCCGGCCGTGAACGGGTTCATCACAAAGGTACCGTCGCGGGCAGCGCGCACCTTCTCACCGACCTTCCACGTGTACGTCTGGTCGATCTTGCCGAACGGGAAACGGTCGTGGCGCGCTACAGCGTTGTTCACGCTTCGGATCTCATTGCCACAGGCCACGTCGTCGTACACCTCTTCAATAATGTCGCGACACGGGGTGTAAGCGGCCGTGTACGCCTTCTCAAACACGACCCGGTCTTCGCCCTTGAAGCTCTCGTACACAGACTTGATGCCATCGTGCGAGATCTTCTCGTTCAGTGGACCAGTGATGCACTCGGCAGTGTGCTTGAACGCGTCTTCGGGGCTCATGCCGTTCAGCATGTAGCGACGGAAGAGCGACTCGACGAGGCCGTGCACGCCGCCGAGCAGGATGCACCGCTCACCGAAAATGTCCGACTTGTACTCGTCGGCCATGGTCGTGTAAAACGTGTAGGGCGCACCCACGCCGACGCTCCAGCCCAGTGCGATTTCCGACGCCGTGTTCGTCACGTCCTGGTGGATCGCGACACTGGCGTTGATGCCAGCTCCGTTCACCGTCTTGCCCTGCACGTAGAGACGGCGGACACTGGGGCCCATGCCCTTTGGCGCCATCATGACCACGTTGATGTCCTTGGGGAACGACTCGTTCACAGACTCGAGGTGCCCCAGCAAAAACCCGTGCGACAGGCCGAGCGTCGCGCCTGGTTTAATGAGCGGAAAGATTTGGGGGTAGAGGTTCACGCATGCCGAGTCGCTAATGAGCAGCACCACGAGGTCCGACTCCTGGATGACGGCAAACATCTCGCCCAGTGTGCCCTTCTGCTCGCTAAAGCCCGCGGCATTGGCGCTCGCAATGGACGACGAGCCCGCGCGCAGACCCACTTTGACCGTAATGTCCGTGCCCTCGAGCGACTCGCTCAGGTTCTGCGCCTGGGCGGGACCCTGTGAGCCCCACCCGATGACCCCAATCTGTTTAATGCCTGCGAACGCTTTGGGCAAAAGCGAGAGCTTGTCGCGGCCGCCGGGGAGCACTGTCTCAGTCGTCTCGGCCATCTGCACCGTGCGCAGGTGCTCCTTGAACACCTGCGAGCTCAGCGTGGACGCGTTCGTGGCGAACGAGCGCGTGGCACGGAGCGCGGGCGACGTGGCTCGCAGGGCCGACTGGAGGAAGAGACGCATCGCGAGATGACAGACGGACAGACAGATGGACAGTTTGCGGTACGGCGAGTGCGTCTCACTCGGGAAATCGCGGAATGATTAGGCTCTCGAGTGAGTGGTCGGGGACGACGAGCGCCTCGTGCGCGGGCGGCCACGGGTCGGTCTCGTTTGCGCATACGACGGCGGGCCGGGTTTAGAAATGGGTACGTGCTGGCGGCGCGACCGAAACCCGTGGCGCTGAGGTTTTTTTTCTTCTATTGACTCGACCTGTGATACATGATGACGGGGGCTGCGTGGCGAGTCGCGAGGGGACCTGCATCGCGTACAGAAAAGTCGTGTGGGCCGCTCGGCACTGTTTTGAGGAAGCCCCGACGTCGCGGCTTTGTCGGTTGTGGATGGGCAACTAAATCCCTTACCGCTGCTTTCATTACCGCTGCTTTCAGTACCGCTGCTCTCGTTACGACTACTGTTGGGCACGTCCGGAATGGCATTTCATCGACAAGCGTGTCAAGTGGGGCTTTGTCGTACCCTTCTGATGGAGAAACCTGAGTCGGCAACCAGTCCTTCAGCGGCGTTTTTTCATGGAGGTAAGGACGACTGGCATCTCCTGAGCAAACCTCAGTCCTGAGTCAAGGAGGAACAGAAACAACAGCGCACTCATTGCTGCACCGAGATGCCTGTAGCATGGACGCTGCGTTCACCGCTAGATCAAATGTTGCTAGAGGTTCGACACGCTGGAAGAGTGCGATGCCAATGGTTGGCCGGCTATAACATGGCAATAGTCTCTAGGGGGGCTGCTGACAAGAGTGGTGGGTTGCTGCAGACACTGCCGAGGCATGCGCTGGCATCGGCTGCTGTAGCGTGCAAGCCCTGTGCTCTACTTCAACCATCAGCAGAGTACGTGCTGTCGGTTGGATGTATACACTGCTGCATCCGACTCGTTGTCGAGTCTCGCGTACACGGTTTGCTGAAGCTCACTAGAGCTCACGTTGCAGTGCATACGTAGTGATCGAGACCGGTACATTGAGGTGACGTGCATGCTGCAGTGCACTGCAATACACTCGCTCGACAATACTGTGCGCTGTATCGGCAGTGATGCGTTTAGTCATCTCGCTTGACCCAACTGCTGCGACGGACGGTGTCTGGTTCGGACCCAGCATTGCTACTGTCGACGCATTCCACCGAGTGGGACATTATGGCAGAACGAGTAGCATACCTCTAGCGTGTCGGGCGACGGGATGGCCGTGGGGTTAGCGTGAGGTTTCGGGTGCTGCTTGCTACATGCATATCATCACGTGCAATGCCGCCAGCGGTGTAGTTGAGCACCTGCTACTGCAGTATCTGTCACTTCGAGCGCTGAGGGAACTCAATGTCTTGAGGAAGAAGAGATGGTGCAAATGACGCAGGAAGGGAGGCACTTGGTCCACCGCAGAAAAGTGTCCAAGCGTCGCGCTTCTTTCGCTTGTGCTTCGCGCACCTGTTTAGGTGGCTCTCTGCTTGAACAGGGGCTGGTGATTGTTGCAAGTTTTGGATGGAAAGAGGGCGGTTGACAACAAAGGGCATGACCCGCATCGTGTGATGGACAACAAGGTGTAAGCCGAAACGCTTTCTTCCACGACCGATATGTTCCAACGCGTGGCTTGGCGTGTCGAGAGGCGGCGTAGACCACGTTGTCGAGAGGCACATGTTCTCAGGTCGACTGCAGAATGGCCTCAAGAGTGCCGACTTGGGTGAACAGGACGACAGAATGTCAAACGAATTGATTGTCAAAGGAGTTATCAGAACAGGCTGTCGTTTCAATAGCCGCTGCGGGTTGCATTGTGTCCACGACTGCGACCCCCAAGCGAACCTAATGCAGCGGTGAATGACATGCGATCGCCCATGGTGAACGACAAGAGTCCGAAACACTGCAGTCGGGTCGTTGCTTCATCGTTTTTACGCAGATCAGCGCTAGCAAAAGTCAGCTGTCAAGATGTTGTTCCTCACGACAGGTTTGACACCACCATTGACAAACAGCGATCGCCTGGATGAGGAAACCCATTGCAAGAAAGCGTCTGACCATTTCATTGCCGATTGGAGAAGAAGTGCTGACGGCGCGAAGTTCGGTCGTGTTCCGAGACGGTCTATCGCTCCTCTTCGCGCGTACGTACTCCGCAGATTGTCGTGGCTCAGGACCTTTCAGGCATCTTGCACACATCAACCATGTAAACAGACGATCGTGGAGCTTTGCCTCCATACGTACGCCAAAGTCGGCTCGCGCAGGCACAGGATCGGCTAGCAACTGACGCAATGAAGGACGGCTTTGGCTGACTCGGTACTTGTGTTGCCGCAGACCACCCTTCGCACTTGCGCAACGCCACACTACGGCGCTAAACCTACTTACATGTCGGTTTGACATGTCAGGCGACAAGTTTCCATCCTTCTGTACCTGACGGTGGAAGTGGCATGAGCCCGAATGCATCTGGCAGCTCATGCGACCATCCAGACGATATCCGCACGGCTTCGGCGTGACCGTTTCGGTAGGCCGTTATGGCCACCCTGCCGCGAAGCACCATCGAACTCGTTCGATACTCTCTTCAAGCACACGACCCAGCTTGCTCCAGAAAGTTGACAAAGTCAACAAGTCTCATGGGCTCTGTAGTGAGCTCGCATACAGCAAGCAGGAACAAGCTGAACCAGACGACACTCTGGCAGCATGACATCGATCGGGGGGCAAGAGTACGCTATCGAGACTCGAGGGGATGGTCGCAAAGATCTCGCAGCCTTTTGCTTCTTGACATAACAGCGTTGATTGCATACGGAAGAAACTATCTCACGAACGCAGTTCGTACTCGATTCTTGGTACCTGGTGGCGAAGCGCAAACGAGAGCAGCTTTCCGAGTAAGACCTCATGGTTCTCGTCGACAACTGTCCGGGCAAGCGAGTTGTAGCTTTTCGTCCGCAGTAGCTCCTTTGTACCGTCCAACTGAATCATAGCAAGCAAAACTAAACGACCACACCATCATGTGTCAGTCCTTCATTTGCTCGCAGCAATCATGTGGCCATTATCACTTACCTCGCATTGGCGCCCACGCGTCCGTCGCAGCGTAGTTGATCTGCGCCTCGCTCAGCACAGGCGCTTCCCAGTCCGATACTTGCATCTCTTTGTCGAGCGATGCTTGAAGAAACACTTGACACGCTGTCTTCAGTCCAGGTCGCATGCATCCAAGCTTTTGTGTTATATACAGCGTGTCCACGGTCGAATTGACTGCGTGTACAAGACCCGACGCCTTCAAATGACGACAGTCGTCGCTCAGCGAGTGGCCGACTTTGAGGACATCTGGATCGGCAAACAGTTCCTGCAGCATCGGCGGCAGCGGGTTCCCTCGTTGCAAGCGGTACAGGAACGCCCGATCTAATGTGCAAACCTGAATCAAGCACGCGGGATTGCTCTTCGTTCCTTTTTGCGGGTAAAAGTCGGGTCTCGCTTCAGTATCGACGCCCACGACTTTCTGCTCCGTCAAGTACTCGACGTGTTGCATCTCCTCTTGCTCCGAGTGGATCACGGCAATCTCACCGCGAAAGACAGTCTTCGGCAGATCGTCATAGTCCCCCAACGTCTTCTCGCCAAAGCACCGGAACAGAAACGACCCTTCGCGAAACAGCGGCAGGTCTTTCACGCGCGCGTGTCGCGCTTTTTTCAGCCGCAGCATCCGCGCGTACTCCTTCTGCCGCTTCTTGGCGGCCGGATCCAGTCCTCCTGTTGCAACTGCAACGGCTGCTGCAGGTGTTTGTTCGGTGGACAGAATCGGATCGCGGCTCGAGGCGGGCGTCGAACCTGTCGCAGCCCCCGTGGCCAGCACCGCCCGCAGTCGGTTCAAGTGCTGGCGCTGTTTCTGCCCTGCAGAAGAGACCGGCGATGTACTTTTGGCCGGACGGGACGCGCGCTTGCTCGCAAACGAAGCGGCAGCGAACAGAGGGCGCGTGGCGCACGTGGCGGACCGCATCTGCCGTCCGATCAACGCGTCCGGCGCAGCGCTTATAAGGACCGACAGACAGATCGACAGACAGACAGACCTGACCAAGCACTGGTCAACCCAAAACGGTACAGTACGGTATAACGTGTCGCACTGGTTGATTTCGTCCCGATGTACCGGTTTTTGTTGTGGTTGATGGGTGTTGTCGTGTAGGGGAGAGGCTAAATACACCTAGCATTATGGCTAAATACACCGCGCGCCTATCCAGTATACAGAAGTTTTATATGGTAGCATCGGTGTCACATTCTATCCACGTCAATTCAAATATTACAGGATAAACTAAGTAGAAATGCACGTGTAGTACAGTCACGTCTATTCAAAAAACTCCTTCGTAGTCTAATGCATGGTGATGAGCTCTTCATCCACCTCCACTACCGATGCTGCCACTGCTACGGTCGCTGATGCTGATGCCAAATTAGACATCGCTAACAAACAGACGACGTGCCAAGTTTATGCTGGCCCTAATCCTGCCGCTGCTGATCTCCCATGGACTTGTGAAAAATCTCCACCGGTCGGGCCTTTTGAGAGTCAAAAGACGGCTGTAGAGGCATCGACGCAGTACGCCGTACGCCAAGGCTTTGCTATCAGTGTATCCCGCAGCCGTTTAATTGGTACCAAGCGCAGTTTTCTCACATGCTCGCAAGAAAAACATTACATGTAGCGGAGCTACACAGCTCCTTAATCCAGAGGAAGACTTAACGCTCTTACGAGCAACTTTAATTCTACGAACCCGACTCAAAGAGTCAACAGCTCCGAGAGCTAAAGGGTGGTTCAAAGAACCCGACTCAAAGAGTCAACAAGCTCAAAGAGCTTACAGTCCCTGTTCCAGGGGGAACAAACGATTCAAAGAATCAAACGCACTAAGTGCACAAGAAGTAGCTGCCTTAACAAGGCGTTGCTACTTCCTTACGATCGCAAGACGCCTCAGAGAGGCACGTATCTTTTGTTGATCAAAATGGGAACTGAATTTTATTTCTTCTTTTAACCTAAAAGAACACCGTAGAATAAAGTAAATAACCTACTCACTTATGGCCTAAATAAACATATTAAAAGATCTCGTAATCAATGGAAGACAGACATTAGTCTTCAACAATTGATACTTGTGTTCTAATATTACTTCAAAGGGGGTCCCATCCCTTGTGTGTACCACACCTATTGTCGACTACCAGTCGACGTGTAACCCCGTTACACCCTCCCCCACCAGACTGACGTTTCCACAAAACGTCAATCGAATTTTTTCCTTGAAGAGGACGGTGTGTGTGCGCTTCAACCTCACGGTTGGCAAAACACAAAACACCATGGCATCGCCACCCCATGAGTCCTCAACTCTCTCGTCTTACCTTGGCATTGATGTGGATATGGATTATGGTAGCGATACCGATATCCATGGTGACGAGAGGACAATGTCCGACGCACCAGTGCAAGAGGCAGCGCCTCATATTGCACCAAACCCATTTGCCGAGCGTGGCGAAGCCAACGCGCCAACGGTGCCGCATCAAGCACTTCTTGAGGGCGATGTCATCATCACTAATCCGCTCGATGAGTAACAAGAGTTGGCTATCCAACGAGAGGAGAGCGCTCAGCTCCGTATGCAGCTTGCTGCAACCCTTAAGGGTCGTCGTGGCTATCTGTTCACACCACTCAATGTGAAAGAGCGTATACGCCAAACGACAGGTCGTTCTTTGGCAACGTGGGCCATTAGCGCTGAGCCTAAATCTTCTGATGAGATGGCGAGTCGACAGGCACTTTGTGAGAGGTACCTGCAACCCCACTTGACGACTCAAAGTCAATACAAGTTGCGACTTGACACGCAAGCACGGGGTGCACCGGTTCCACCGATGAAGGGTATAACCATCCTCTTATTCGCAGGCAAATCTCAAGAGGAAGAAGACAACGCTTTTGTTCGCTGGATGCATCGGAAACGACACCTCAGCAGCGTTTTAGCTCTCAGAGCAAGTGCCGATGTGGCAGGTGTTCGCCTAGAACGAAAGCTTCGGTATGATTACGCCAAGCTTAAGTCCAGAGGCCAATTGCAAACTCGCACACTCTATGCTCCGGCTGTGCCGATTGATGTGGGTGTTGGTCAAGTGGGACCCAACTACCCACCTGCTTCCACCACTATTGGTGAGAGCGCTCTCGGTCGAGGGATGACCCTTGCCACGATGTTCAAAAACATCAACGGCGTATGGGCAATCTTGCCGCAGGGGTGTCTCAAACTCCCACGAGTTCTCCGACTCCGGGTACTCTCGCCACTTCACCAGATACTGGTATTGACCCTGACGACAACGTCGTTTCAGGAGTCGCTCCACATGGAACTGGTGGTTCCCTTGCTCATCGAGCAGCGTCGGAGGTGGTCGGTATACCGAAGGAGGAGCATGAGAAGGTGCTTCTTGAGCTGAGTGGTCTCCGTGAGACATTGGGTAAGACCCAGAGTGCGTTTGACGCGATGCGAGCCCGTGTCCAGGCGTTGGAGTTGGGCCAAGCCCGGATGGAGGCTCAGGTTGACCTCCTGATATGGATTCAGCAACCGATGGCAAGGCCAACCTACCCGGCGCAACCGCCTCCAAGTTCACGTGGGACGGATCCCGATACGTCTTAAGCAAACCGACGTAGAACACGGGGTGTGTGCGCAGTTTGCGCGGAAGGTTGAGCGTATATGCAAGTCCCTTCTTGGCGACGACCATGAATGGTCCAATGAAGCGTGGGCGCAACTTTGTCTTGAAGACAGCATACACTACATTTGTAGGTGGTTTTTAGCATTGAGTAGAACTTGGTCTCCGACCTCATAACGTTCAATACAACCTCTGCCTTTAACATCAGCTTGTTCCTTCTGCTTGCCTTGGCTATCAGCCAGTGCGTCACGCACATGTCGTAAGACATTCAATCGCGTTGCGAGAAACTCGCTCACCTGTTTTTGAACAGTAGCAGAGCTGATATCAGCAAGCCGATCGGCAACTCCTCCCCCACCAAGCCCTGAACCACGCAGTGGTAGCGTTAACGGAATGCGAGGGTGTGTGAGACCATTCACATAAAACGGTGTGTAGCCGGTGGAGGCATGCACGGCGTTATTCAACGAAAACTCAACGACAGGGAGCATCGAACTCCTACAATTAGGCGTTTCAGCGCAAACACTGCGCAAGATGTCACCGATGATGCGATTCACTCGCTCGGTTTGACCATCAGTCTGCGGATAATTCGCTGTGAACACGTCCAAACGTGTGCCGAGCACCTTGAATATGGATTTATAAAACTTCCCAGTGAAGCGAGGATCTCTATCAGAGACAATTGCCAACGACAAACCGTGTTGTCGAAACACTCTATCGATAAACAGCGTAGCTGTACCTTCACCATCAATGGTATCTGGCACAGCCGCCAAGTGAGCCATCTTGCTCAAACGGTCAACAAAGACCACAATACCCGTATTTCCATGCGAATCATTCGGTAAACCGAACAGGAAGTCCATACTGATGGACTCCCAACACCCTTTGGGTATAGGCAAACTAGCCAGCGGCGCGGCCGCGTGAGGTGAGGGTTTCACTCGTTGACACGTTTCACACGTACGCACATATGTGCTCACCCATTTGTATAGTTTGGGCCACCAATAGCATTGGATAACTGAGCCATATGTCTTCTCACGACCGAGATGACCACTCAACGCAGTATCATGTGCCTCATAGAGGATCCGATACTTCAACTCCTCATAATGAGGGACAACGATGCGAGAAATATCCTCCACATCCGTGCTATAGCACAACAGGCCCTGATCGATAGAATATCGATGTAACCTCGCACGTAATCGTGCCTACAATTCTATGTCCGAGTCCTTAAACTCCTCGCTCCCTAGAGCACGTAGAAGAGCTACACAGTGTTCATCCGTGACGTGTGCCGTACGGATTAGGTCAGTGACCGACGACGACAAAGTCGTAACATGAGCAATCTCATAGTCAGGCCTGCGTGACAACGCATCAGCCAAAGCATTTTGCTTGCCCGGCTTATACTTCACCTCGAAGTTGTATTCGGCAAAGAAGGAAAGCCAACGATCCATTCTCTGAGAGAGGTGAGGCGACTGGGTCGCAGTGCGTAGTGACGCATGATCTGTATCGATCACAAACGGCTTAGAGCCAAGAAGATGAACTCTGAATTTGACGAGAGCATACTTCATTGCAAATAGATCTTTGTCATGAACAGGATAGTTCTTTTCTGCAGCCTTCAGCTGCCGAGACTCAAACGCAATTACGCGTTCTCGTCCATCAATATCTGTCTGTAACAGAGCGCTGCCTATGGCAAAGTCAGATGCGTCACAGACGACACTGAAAGATCGATCAGGATCAGGCAAAGCCAAGATTGGCGCATGACGGAGACTCTCCTTTAATGGTTGAAAAGCATCATGCTCGGTGCTAGTCCAGCACCATTCCCCATCCTTATAAAGGAGATTGGATAATGGCCGAGCCATATCTGCGTAATTCGCACTGTACTTGTGCAAGTAATTGGCAAGGCCAAGCCACTTACGTAAGTCCTTTTGGTTCTTTGGAACCGGCCAATCAACTATGGCTTTTACCTTAGCAGAGTCCGCTCTAAGGCCTCGCTTTCCAATAAAGCACCCTAAAAAAGGAATTTGTTCTGCACCAAAGATGCACTTAGACGCGTTGGCGTACAACTTATTCGTGCGCATGCACTCGATCACCGCTCGTAAATGGTCAATGTGATTGTCCACATCTGACCGACCGTTCATAGCACGACTATGGACAAAGATGTCATCAAAGTATGTCTGTGCATAACCTCTGTGAGGTCTGAACAATTGTGTCACAAGACGATTGAATGTAGCCGGGTCATTTGATAACCCTTGCGGCATAACAAGCCACTCCCAGAGCATATCGCTTGGAGTGCTGACCGCTGTCAGCGGAATGTCGCTTTCTCGCATGAGAAGTTGGTAATAACCATCGACTAAGTCGAGCGCACTGTACATTGTACATCCCACCATATTGTTCTGAAGAACATTCTTCCTCGGAATTGGTGTCTGAGCCGGGATGGTGGCCGCATTAAGCTTATTGTAAGCATGAAAAATGCGCCACTTCCCATTGGGCTTTTTGACACAGAAGGTCGGTGTTGAATGGGGAGATTTGCTTCCACGTACCATTCCTGCCGCGTGCTTTGCACGAAAGAAGTCATCAATGACGTCACACTGTTCCTTAGGTAAAGTCCACTGCCGTGTTAAGCAGTATTTAGTTCCAGGAACCAAGTCAATTTCATGACGTACACCTCTATCGGGAGGCAAAACGGACGGTGGGTTTTGACACACCACGTCCTGAAATTCCTTTACCAAAGATAGAACGGATCGAGAGGATCCTTAAGGATCGACGATCCACTACGGGCATCCAATGCCGCATTTGTGTCCTCAAGGACAGACTCGTCCAATAACGAGGATGAGTTCAACTTAATATCCGGTCGAATGACCACTAACTCGGATACTTCTCCTGCCTGTAAGGCTTGGCTAAATTCGCCGTCAGACATTTCGTCTAGTTCAAAGAGAGTATCCATCGATCTGGCCAGTCAACCCATTGACAAGTGTATATAGTTTATTATTACTATTATCACTTCGTGACTTCTTAGACATTGGGCGCTTCTCCGTTGCCACCCTACGCTGGAATCGTTTCCTCACAGAAACCGTACGCCTCCTAGAGGCCGGGACAGTCGGGTCCCCGTGGTTGCTAGTCATCTTAGCACGCTCTATACGAGAGCTCATGTCTTAAACGACATCTGGTGAAGTGTTACGTAACTCGAACACTTCACCCAGCGGATTTACACGTACCACTTCACGTACAGCATTCGTGCCTAGCCCTGAACACTCTGGATTCTCGCCATCAATGTCATTACCGACATTCATTGAGGTGCCACCTCGGCCGTCCTCACTCGGTGGGATTTTACGTAACACCCCACTCACATCAGAGGAATGACATTCTTGATGTCTCGGCCCTAGTCCAACCATGCCTTCAGCATGCAGTGACTCAGTATCACAACGAGTATCACTCAACGGAGTATAACTCCCTTCACATACGGTGAAAGAGCTCCGCTCAATATGGATGTCATTGACATCGGAGTTAATTAATGTCCAGCACATTGACATCTTCCGTCAATGGCTCGCGCCAATAGAGCTTTTGTTGCCTAGCAAAGTTGGATTCATGACTTTCCAAAGATTATCTAGGAACATTGCGCGTGGCGCCTAAGGTATTAGACCTCCAATCAATCCATGGCTCATGGTGTTCAAGCCAAGCCATACCCAGGATGATATCGTATTTCGAATCCGAATCGAGGACAAGACAGCTTTCAATGCTGTCAAAGTCCAAAAACTTCACACCTAAGTTCAACGGAACTTTAGGCACCTTGACGCGACTACCAGTCGCTAAGCGAACGGTGATTGAATCACCCTCATGCGCTTTGAGCGCTTCAGCATATCGCTGACTTCCCTCAAGGGAATGAAGTCGAGCATAATTGCATGATGCTCCGGATTCGATTAGGATCGACCAATCCTTTACAAAGCCTTTAATCTTCGCCTCGGCGACTAACAAGCCAGGCTTGTATCCACGCTCTGTGCTGGTGGGCAAATAGCTCGGTGGGGCTAAGCCCTGTTTCACTCTACCTCGTAAAGAAGCAACAGAACTCAGTTCTACCCCAGTAGGGCGCCCCGCACCAACTGGGTGTCGCTGTTTCCCCGTGCCATACCAGGTTTCTGGTTGTAGCTGGGGTTTCGACCCATTGGAGTCGGTTGTTGCTTGCGCAAAGGACAAGTGGGACGCAAGTGTTTAGTGCTTCCGCGCATATAACAACGTTTCAATTCCTGTCGTTGCTCTGCAACATGAAGTTCAGCTTCACTTTCATCTTCAGCATGGCTGAGATCCATCGGTTCTGGCTTACAGTAAGCCGAGGTGCTCGCAGAGGTTGCCCTCGAAAATCTTGGGTTGTAACCATTCCAACCAAGTCTGGCCGACTTGAAGTTGTGCTCAGCATTTTGAGCGATGCTAACAGCTTCCTCAAAAGTAGAGGGATGGACCCGAAACACCTCTGTTTTGGCAACGCCATTACGAAGTCCTTCCATGAAGACAGTCACACAGACTGTTTCAGGGAGAGGGTCAGACTGCATAGCAGTCATCAGAGTTGTAACTCCTGGACATAGTCCGTTAGCTCATTCTTACCCTGACGGGTAGATAAGAAGCGTTAGCGCACGCGATAAGCCTGGTTAGGCGGCGAGAAAACTCGCATGAGGTCTAACTTGAGCAAATCCCATGTGGGAAACGCCAAGTCGACCGACGTGCCACACGTCAGAGCCCACTCTCTTGCTCTTCCATCGAGCTTGGAGATGGCCAGCGAGACCCGCTGGTACTCCAGTGAGATAAGGCCAGAGCTCATGGCCATCTCAATCTCACGGATCCAGAGGGTCAGGTTTTCGCCCTCCTTACCGGAGTAATGCTTAACGTCCACCCTAAGGGGACAAGGCTTAGCCTCTTCATTTGGCATCGCCACGTATCGTGTTGGCATAGCCGACGCTACTTGGTTCTGAACCTGCCCTAAAAAGGCCGTTTCATACTGCATGAAGGCCTCGACTAGTGCATTGAGCACATCGGGACCTTGTGCATCTAGAAACTCCACATACTTTGGGCCTACGGCCGCGGTCAGCTTCTCAAGCGCGACCTTTTGAGCCTCAGAGAGGGGTGTGGATTGCTCCATCCTCACAGAGGATCAGTCGTTACCGACTCAGTTGTAGATTGACCACAAGTGCTACCAAGTGTAGCGGAGCTACACAGCTCCTTAATCCAGAGGAAGACTGAACGCTCTTACGAGCAACTTTAATTCTACGAACCCGACTCAAAGAGTCAACAGCTCCGAGAGCTAAAGGGTGGTTCAAAGAACTCGACTCAAAGAGTCAACAAGCTCAAAGAACTTACGGTCCCTGTTCCAGGGGGACCAAACGATTCAAAGAATCAAACGCACTAAGTGCACAAGAAGTAGCTGCCTTAACAAGGCGTTGCTACTTCCTTACGATCGCAAGACGCCTCAGAGAGGCACGTATCTTTTGTCGATCAAAATGGGAACTGAATTTTATTTCTTCTTTTAACCTAAAAGAACACCGTAGAATAAAGTAAATAACCTACTCACTTATGGCCTAAATAAACATATTAAAAGATCTCGTAATCAATGGAAGACAGACATTAGTCTTCAACAATTGATACTTGTGTTCTAATATTACTTCAAAGGGGGTCCCATCCCTTGTGTGTACCACACCTATTGTCGACTACCAGTCGACGTGTAACCCCGTTACATTACAGGAGATCCCACAGTCGGCTGACGTCAATGCGAGATCGCGGGACAAAAAAGGTCGGGCGTTCATACGAGCTTGTGGTCATGTATGACAAGTACGCCCCAGAAGGAAGTGCCCGGTCAATCATTTGTGTGAACAACTGCCACACCGGTCACACCCGTTGTATCAGCACGACCATGCTCTCAGCGCTACCGGCGGCGCGACGTGCGACGAAAAAAATTGACGATATCAATTCTAAGGTCGCCCAGATGCATCAAGACGGAGCTGCTCCACGGGTATGTGTGCGTGTTAATGTCATATACAGCAGGTCATTATCGGATTATTTGATTGAATGTGATTATTGTAGGTTATTGTAAACCAGTTCAAGGATGCGGGTGTCCTTATAAAGGCAAATGATTTCCACAATATCGTTCAGAAGACGAGCAGAAAGACATTTGGCGGAAAAACACCCACGGAAGCCCTGCTCTAGCACATGAAGGACCAAAACATAGTATCCTCGGTTGTAGTGGACGAAGACAACCACGTTCGACACCTGTTTTGGCAGCCTGAGCTGACTAAGAATTTGACATATCGTCATCACGAGATTTTTATGATGGACTGCACATACAAGACGAACGCCTACAGCCTCCCGCTACTGCATGTGCGTTAATTACCATGGTCACATCCCAGGTGCCGTCACAGCTTACACTCTGTAACGAATCTCCAGCGTTGCATGGCCCTCGACATGGCACACAGCTGCAAGCAGTTCATTTTTATCAGACCTTTACGTCTACGTTGATGTCCCAGGTCCCATTTACAAGGCGCCAGCTTCCTCCCGCGCCATAGAAAAAGTTTGTTCTCCTCAACCTAGGACACGTAATCTAATGATTAACCGCGGGTGCATTTTTAATTACCTTATTCTGTAATTGTTTGGATTGACATGCCGTGATGGTACTACACGTGCATTTCTACTTAGTTTATCCTGTAATACTTGAATTGACGTGGATAGAATGTGACACCGCTGCTACCATATAAACATTAGGAATAATGAATAGGCGCGCGGTGTATTTAGCCATAATGCTCGGTGTATTTAGCCTCTCCCGTTGTGTAGTTGGGTGCAAAGTCCGTACTGCGAGGGAAGCCACTTCGGTCGAGTGTCCCCCACCCCCCTCCGAAACGACCCGACTCGGAGCGTTCGAGCCCCTGACAAATGGCTACATACATGTTCAGCGCTGCTGGGCAAGTGCCGCTGCCAGCTGAGCCGCCGCTGCCGCTCTTCTCGACGCAGGAGATCCGCCTGCGCAAGGCGCGCGACGCCAACACGCTCCTGTTCTTCGTGCCGACGCACTCGAGCTTGTTGCTGTCGCTGCGGCGTCCCGTGAGCCACGCGTCCGTCGCGCGAGACGCGCGTTGCCTGCGCTTGCTCCAGACCGTAGCGCTCGTGCCCAGTTGCAAGTGGAACAAAGCGCTTGCAACGGTCACAACGGCGCTCGAGCTGCCAGTGTGTCCGCGGGTCAAGCGCCACTTGGAGGAGACGCTGGGCCCTTTGATCGCAAAGCTACGGCAGGAGAGCAGTGGCCGTCCGTTGATTTGTCTGCAACTGAAGGCAGCAGTGGCCGAGTGTTTGCGGTGGTGGATGGACGACCCGGTCGAAGGCTTTGTACTGAGGAAGGAACAGGTTGTGCATGGCATGAGACTGGACGATCTCGTGGCGACACCGGCAGGCGACGGGTATCTCCGAGGCTATCGCTGCGAAGACGGCTTCTGCACGGTCGTCTACCCGTGGGGGCACGGGTTTGTGCACGTGGAAAAGGTGGAGAAGGTCGAGCAAGCAGTCGAGACACGACGACTGAAGAAGAAGCGCGTGTTCAACGAACGTGTTGCACTCGAGCATGAGCAGCTTTACGAGCAGATTGAAGGGTTGTTGGCGAATCGGCCGTCGCCAGTGCTCGAGGAACAAGAGTCGACAAGGGAAGCTGCAATCGCCGCTCTTGGCGAACCGGCAGGAGAAGACGTTGCACAGTATACGGAGCTGCTGGCATCGTTGGAGGAGGGGGTGGGGAAGCTGGGGGATTGGAAAGAGTCGAAAGAAGTTGAAGGTGGCTAACTCGTTTGCGGTTCATCGTGTTTGTTTTTGTAGCATGTGGATACGACGGTGTTGCGCGGAGATCTGGGTCTGTTGCGCCGCGTGCAGGCTTTGGTGGACAAGGTGAAGGAAGTCCGCCGCTCACGGACGCCTCACGAGCCCGAGCACAAGCAAGTGCGATCCGATGACGACCCGGATGTGTCGCCCGAAGACGATCAGCAGGACCCTGGTCAGTCGGTGCATGTGCAAGAACAGTCTGAGGGGAATACGGAATAAAAGCAGGAGAAGCGACGTAGCAGGAGGCTGCAGAGGAAGGACTACGGAGTAGTTTGTACGCGAACATGTGAGGCCAGTAGAGGCAGGAGGCACTGAGCTTGTGGCGATTGCTGTATCCTGCCTGGCATTGGGACTACAACCGGCGTCGAAAGAGAAACGGATCAGCGCAGTCACGGCGCTACTTTAGCCGTGCCGTAATCAGTGATGACGAAGTTGCACAACCACAGCTCACAAAGGCTGCGACCAGGTACAACTGGCAGCAATTTGTCCATTACGGAAGGGCGCTTGACATTGACAGGGAGACGTATCAACCGAGAAATGGTCGACGTACTCACGCACACGTCAATGGAACTACGAATGGTCAGCAAATAAAGTCGATTTGCTCGTCAGAGTGTGTGGCCAAGCGGTCGTTTGACCGATCCATTGTTACCTGTAAAGCCTTCCTGCGTCGATCGTGTCATTCGCAGGCTCTACCTTTCCTACCAATCTCTGTCCCGTGTTCCACTTGACGCATGGATGTCGACAAACAGCGGGAGCTGCTTTTGTTGCCAACACGATTTGCGCCAATATCCCATCTGTCAACTGAAAAACAGCTGGAAGATACGCTCTTCTCCGTTTGCAAATCGCGAGCCGCGGCTTATCAGCTGCTTCGACAAATGTAGAGGTGCTCGTCATTACGCACGTCGAGACACCAACCGCAAAAGCAGAGAGGCAGTTTGTCATGCGCGACGAAAGCTTTTACACCGTAGCGGCATCAGCAGCTGGTCAGCGAGTTTTCGGCTGCGCTTAAGGACGACCTTTACGGTACGCTTGCTCCCGCAGAAGAAATATGAGAAGAAAAGGTTTGAGTCAGCGTGTGTTTGTCATCAGCTGGTATCGTCCTCGATCGGGCGACCATCGCGTATGCGCTCTGCGAAGGGTGACGTAGATTATTGCGTTCACCTCACAGAGACAGACCATGCGTCGTTCGTGCGGAGATGAGCGCTTCAAACGAGGCGAGTCTCGACTTACGATAGCATGCTCTTCCGCCGATTCGCAACTCTTCGCAACTCCATAATGTCTGGGTTTTGTCTCATCGTCCAGACGTTGCAACTCCTTTTCCTTGAAGCTTAGACGCGCTCTCACCAGTCTGGATGGCTTAGGGCGCTCGCAGCAAGTGAGGGGGGGGGCGCCAGATGCGTGTGCAATTGTCGCAAGAGTGTAGTTGTTGTCCAGACACGGCAGATGGCGCTGAGGTAATCTGAATCATAGGTAGAAGAGACCCCCGTCTTAGCAGACCCCAATGACTACAGACAAGCACACTACACGTATGATGTTAGCCCGGTGGGGAAGTGTCGTGAAGCATGCCTGCTCACTTTCCGTGGCGGTATCAGGCGCTGCATCCAGCGATCGAAGCGGTTTTGAGGTCCTTGGGTGCACGACTGGCGTGGCACATCGAAGAGATACTAGCACGTGGTCACTCGATCGCAAAGCTATTCACCGTGACGACAAGTTGTTGAGACTGTCAGAATGGGTCTATCCCTCACGCCATCAGCCATGTCTGGACAACGCAACACCATTCGAGCCTCTAGTCACATCACTTGCCGCCACTTTGGCGTGCCAAGTAGTGGAAACAGGTCTTCGCAATGTTCTTGTCAGGAGAAGACGGCATTGAAACCGTCTGAGGGGCCACAAACGTGGCTTGTACAGGGTGACAATGAAATGTAGTGGCATCTTTTAGACTACACACCAGAGTCACAGATCTTGTCCGAGACAGGTACGGCTACTGGAGGGACAAGCCTCGACACAGGTTGGGTTTCTAGCCACCCGAACCTCCACCGGCTTCCTTGGAGTGTGCTGGAGTCAGCGGACAATGCCAGAACATGAGAGCGATCGTGTGCCAAGCTTTCAATGTTCAATGAACGCTTGCAAAGCCTGGTAGTCTTGGCTTGCCCGCTCTGACGCGACGACGCTCAACATTCGATGGAAATATGCAGTAACACGCCAGTGTCCACTCCATCACACTGCTGGACTCACGCCAGTGGGCCGATTAAGACTCTATCGCTTCCTCATGCGCTTGTAGAAGCCGGTCTTGCAGGGCAACAGCGCGGCGGAGAACAACGTAAGCGCACATGCTTCGTACGAAGCTCAATATGTCATACGCAGCTGTATGATACGTCAGAGCCGGCGGTATTCCGAGGAGGAACAACAACTATCTACAGCATCGAACGCGTCGACCTTCTTAGAAATCGTCGATCGTGAGCTGAAGCCCGTCGCGACCGCGCGAACACCCAACAGCTGCAACTGCAGTGCTCGGAGTCCTGCACTACGCATGTCGACACATCGATTGACGATCGACAGGGGCATTTGCCTCACACGGCCGACATCCACCACGACAAGTTGCCCCACACTCGGCGCTAATCTCCTGGCTCAGGACCGTTTGGACGTCACGCACGCGTGCACTCGTACACAGACAATCGTGATACTCGATCCCCATAAGTGGGCCCTTGCGTTCGTGCGCTACCAACAGCTGTAGGAAAAGTAGAGGCTGCGAGCCGCAGGTTGCTAACACATTGGACGCGTCGTAACGAAAATCCCCTCTGGCGACGACGGAAGTGTGCATCGTGAAGGCTCAGAAACATACGAAGGCGTGTCATGTTGACCCATCGTGTACGTCAGAACCGTGTATGCGGAATTGCCATGTCGCCTGCACTGCTTCAAGGTCGCGTTTCTCACGTCCATATCATCATCGTCCGTCTTTGTAATGCTTCGTCACCCACATCTCTTGGCCGAAAGCACATGATCGCACGGCAGATGCAACAGTCGTACGTGGTACAACGTCGCGAACTGTGCCACATGGCGGCGTCTCACGCGGAACCTCGTTGCGTTGTCGTCACGTACACGTGTATTCGATGCGTGTACTTTACACGAAGTCAACATCTCACGATCACCTTCCCACGCTCAAGCAGCTGGCTTCAGGTAAAGATGCTTGTCCATAGATGTGATTGCGGTCACTCTTATCTCCTCACGAGTTCACGACGACGACTAGCCAATGGTGAACTCAACTTACACTACCGACTAGCGCCCTGCTCCATAGGGAACCTGTAGGTAGCCCGGACACGGCAGTGCAACGACAGCAGCATTGCTCACTTCCACATTTGCCTTCAAGCCCTCCAGTCTCCTACAACCTGAAGGACAAGGCACATCATGGTTGCGACGATCTCCGACGCCAGCCGCGCAATTTTCGCTCTCTGCTCCCTCATTGCTGCCCACGGTGGCAATGCTGTCGCTGGGAACCCCAAAGGTGGTCTTGTGGCGCCTGCAGCTTCCACAGCCGACATTGGCGCTTGCCTGACCAAGGCAGGCATCGAATACTCGGCGCCCACCACTTCAACATGGGCGGTGGACACGGAGGCGTGGAACTCACGTGTGAGCCCTGTACCTTCGGCTGTCGCTTTTCCAAAGACGGAAGAGGAGGTGTCGGCTGCTCTGAAGTGCGCTGCTAGCACCGGCGTCAAGGTGACTACGCTCGGCGGCAACCGGTCGTTCTCGAGCATGGGCTTTGGTCGCAATGACGGTGCTCTGATCATGAACCTAAAGCACTTGAAGCACTTGAAGTACGATGCGTCGACCCAGCTGCTGTCCTACGGTGGCCCCGTCACGATCTCGGAGGCTGTCGACTTTATGTGGATCAAGCATAAACGCACGTTCCCCCACGGCCGTTGCCCGGATGTCGGCATGACTGGTGTCGCTGCCTCGGGTTTCGGCACCATTTCGCGTCTCCATGGCACTGTGCTGGACAACATCGTGTCCGTGCGTGTGGCACTCGCCAACAGCTCCATCGTCGACGCTGACGCCAAGAAGAACTCGGGGCTATTTTGGGGTGTCCGCGGCGCTGCCAGCTCAATGGGCGTGGTTCTTGACTTCAAGATCAAGACCGTTGCGGCTCCTTCGACGCGCGCGACAAACTACACGATTGCTTTTGACAAGAGCTACAAGCCAACACAGCAGGAGAACGTTGACGCTCTCATTGGTACGCAAAAGTGGGCCCTGAGCAAAGACAACAGCGACAATTTGTCCATCCGGTTTAGCATCAAGAAGGACTCGACGCTGCAAGGCTTCTTCTACGGTACGAGTGCGGAGGCAACGAAAGTCTTTGCGTCGCTCATGAAGAACCTGCCTAGTGCAATGAAACTGACCACGACCGAGAGTGACTTTTGGGCATCGGAGGAATTCTCGACCCCGGGTCTCGTGCAGCAGACGCTTACTCCTCGCCGCTTCTTTTACATTACGTCGGTGACAATCCCGAGCAAATCCCCGCTCTCCAACTCCACCGCGTGGGAGCTGTTTACCAACACTGCGTTTTCTCCCAAGCTGCCGGATGCCTCTTTCGGCGGCTTTGTCGACGTTTGGGGCGGCAAGTACGCCAAAACCGTTCGTCCTGACGCTTCCGCCTGGAAACACGACGACAACCTTTTCCTCGTTCGTTGGGACATGCGCTCATCGGCCTTCGACAAGCCGTTTGCAGAAAGCTCCTTGGACACCATGCGCAAGAACTTTTACAAGTTCGTGAATGCTTACAAGGCTTCGGGCGGTACGCCGGGTGGGTTTCCGACCTACCGTGATGAGAAGTGGACGACGGCGGAGATGGCCGAGTACTTGTACGGCGGCGGCAACTTTGCCAAGTTGCAGAAGATCAAGACCGAGTACGACCCGAACGAGATGTTCAACACGGACCCTCAGGCTATTCGCTCGTTGTCGAAGAAGGCCAAGTAGGTCGGCTTGGCTTGACCCACTGTTTGCGAAGACTTTTGCTTGCTCTTTCATATCCTGCGTAGCGTTTAAAGTTGAAAAATGATGTTTTGGCCTCGATCATTGTATCAGTGTTGTCATTGTGTCAGTGTTGCCATTAGCCTTTGTGAAGGCACGTGGTGCCTGCACTGGTCCAGCAACGTTGTTACAGTCTCTACTCGATCGTTATTGTTAGGAAATTGGAATTGCAAAGTGCTTGCATCCGCGGCGTCGTCCGTACGTAAGGAGTGTGAGCGGGGTACGAACCTCTCACATGGAACTCCCAATCAACTCTACATCAGTAAGTAATGCCCTTACATGAGCGAACGCCACGACGTATCTGCCACAGTTCGTAAATGTACGTAGACGGCAACAAAACGATAGTACGCTGGCTGTCAAAAGTAGATCTCAAGGTTGTTTGCAATGCATACAGCTCATCCAACAAGCACGCCAGAAAAATAATTAGCGGGGTATGGGAAAGCAAACGATAATTCAGACGTTTAGTAGGACAATCCCAATACACCATATAAAGCGCTACTCGCTTGACAGACTTCAGCGCGAACAGGTAGAGATCCGCCAACAAGACACTCTCGATCTTTCACAATCAGTCCCGTCACACAGGGCGCCAAAGCATAACTCATGTGTGCAAGGTGCACTGACATTGACCCCCGTCGTTTCAACGTACGACAGGGTTGTACAGAAGATTCGAGAGGGTTAGAAGTACAAAGAGGTCCGAGAAGATGATGTGTATCGCAATAGGTCTCACATAGAGCGACGTATGGATATTCTCCCTCGTTGATTGACTAGCCACTGATGAGCCACCGGTTGGGGCCGAACGCGTCTGGCGCGCATTTCGATACACGCCATATGTTTGCTCTGGTTTTTACGTCCTTACAACAACAAAAGGGAAAAGGCTAACTTTTCGCTGCGTGGACCGAGCAAGGCAGTGCAGCATGTGACATGTAAGCATTGCCTGCACAGGATCTCCACGGTGCCGAGAGTGCCAACAGTAGTTAGGCTCATCCTGCGCCAAAACGCTCGACCTGTACGACCTGCTCCCAGTCGCCAGCTCGTTTGCTGTATACGCACCCAGTCCCGCGAAGATAATTTTTGGTCAAAGAAAGACTTTACGGCGTATCGCCACGGCTTACACACTCTTTTCGTTCTACGGAGCTATGTTTGAACGATGTACGAGTCTGGCAGTTCTAGGGACTAAGGAAGGGATCTAGTGTCACAAGCAAAAGCTCAACAGTTCTTTACTAATAAATGAGCTAAGAGCACACGTGTAACACGATAGAAATTTTCTGCTTCTTTCCTTTCAACGGGAAACTGAACTTTGTTCCTGTTCTAACCTTGAGTAATAAGCCTTGTATTTAGTGCCCTACACCGAGTTTGATCTAGTTCTCATAGTATTCTTTGTTCTGTCCACTGACCAATGCCAGACAAGCCAACCTGTCAGCAATTGATGGCTGACAGACAGACCAGTCAGACATCAATAGCCCATCAGCCAGTCATCAATCTATATTGTACTTAGTACTGTATCGGTCAAAGCTTCATCACCAATGAAGAATGTTACTGATAAATATGTACATTGATGCAGGTAGCATGGCAGAGGGCCCATACTTGATACCCTTCCATCCAGCCTGTGTATCATAATGCATAATGTGTATCATGGCCGATGACAGCCGTGTGACACCGTTGTAGGGCTGTCGATATCTTCCAAGCACCCGAAGTATAATTGTTCGTGATTGTACCGATGCAAATTTGAAAGTTGTGTCTACGTATCCAGTTGATTATACATTCATAATAGAATCTCAAATACAGAAGAAATAAATGTTCAGTGTCGAAGACGTAACATTCGGCCAGAACTAGGTCTATAAACAGTTACAGATTGCAACTGCAACCTTTTCATTATTGTGCGTCAGTAATGGTCCAACATCGCCTCTAACGCATAACCAAAAATGCGGAGCACCGCATGCAAATCGAACAACTCGACGTCGTTGTTTGACAATCGATACGACGAACACCGAATCCATAAACGATCGATTATTTGCTCTATGTCAGCTCACCCAAATCGAGCTATACGATAAGGCGTTTCGAGTTCTACAAAAGCTCTCTTAACCGCAGTGTAACGGGTTTGCACGTCGTTTGATAATTGAAGAACCATGTGCAACATACACAAGGATATTATCCCATCATGTGTGGTATACATCAGGGATGATATCCCATCAAAATGATATTCGAACACCGTATCAGTTGTTGGGGGCTGACGACTGTGATCCACCAAATTACGAGATCTTGTAAGAGGTATAAAGTCGAACATCATTGTCTCGATTAAGTACATTAGTCTAAGGGGTTCTTTTCAATAAAAACAAATAAAGTTCAGTTCTACCATGATACCTGTAAGGCACGTGTCTTCCTAATGCGTCTTAAGATTGTCAAGATCAACCAAACGCCTTGTCAAGGTAGCTGCTCTTGAGTAGTCTGTGCTGCGATTCTTTGGATCGTTTGGTTCCTTAGAACCGGGACCGTAAGATCTTTAAGATTTTTGCCTGATAAGTCGAGCTCTTTGAACTAAAATGATCGTTGAGTGTTAAATAACCTCTGACTTTAGGAGCTGTGCAGCTCCGCTACACTTGGTAGCACTTGTAGTCAATGTACGAGTGAGTGTTCAAGACTGATCCTCTGCGGGGATAGAACAATCTACACCCTACGGAGGCCCATATGGGCGCGCTTGATAAGCTGACCGCGGCCGCAGGGCCTGAATATATGGATTTACTAGATGCGAAAGGCCACGAAGTGCTAAATGCACGTGTCCAGATCTTCATGCAGTACGAAAAGTACCTTTCAGGGTAGGTCCAGATCCATGTAGCGTCGGCTATAGTAACACGCTTTGTGGAAGGAACTCACGAAGGAACGAAGCCTTGGCCACTTAAGGTGGACGCTCAGCAATTTTCCGGGAAGGAGGGCGAAAATCTCACCCTCTGGGTTTGTGAGATTGAGATGACCACGAATCCGGCCTAATCTCACTTGAGCATTAGCGATATACGCTGGATATCTCGAAGCTCGATCAAAGAGCTAGAGAATGGCCTTTAACGTGTAGCACTTCGATTGACTTTGCGTTTCCCACATGAGAATCTCTCAAATCAAAACATTTGCGAGCTTCTCGTCTCCCAATCAGGCTTACCGCGTGTGTTCAAGCTTCTTGTCTAACTGTCAGACTAAGAATGAGTTAACGGACTATGCCTAAGCGTCAAGAACTCTGATAGGTGCTGTGCATTCCTAACCTCCCCTTGAGACGGTCCATGTGACTTTATTTATGAAAGGTATCCGCACTGGCGTGACCAGAATTGATGGCTTTCGGGTCCAGCCCTCTACTTTTGAAAAGGCTGTGAGCATCGCTTAAAATGCTGAGCACAACTTTTGTCCGCCAGGCTTGGTTACAACGGGTATAACTCAAGCTTTGCGAGGTCAACCTCAATGGGTACCTCGGATTTAGTTAGCCTGAACTAATAGACCTCAGCAACGCTGATGATGAAGGTGAAACTGAGCTTCAGGTTGCGGAGAAACAACCTGGAGTGGGACGGTGTTACACGTGCGAAAGCAATAAACACTTGCGTTCCACTTGTTCATTGCACAAGCAGCGCCATACTCCTGTGAGTCGAGAATTCGCCCCCAACCAGAATTCTGGTATGGCGTGGAGAAACGTCGATACCCAGTATGCGCGGGACGTCCTAGTGGGGTAGAGCTAGGCTCTCTTACTTCTTTAAGGGTAGAGTAGAGCAGGTCTTATCCCCAAGAGCTCTGCGCAAGTTAGCGCAGAGAGTAAATACAAGCCTGGTATGTTAGTCGCCGAGGTGATAGTGGTGCAAAGGCGATTGCTTTTCTAAGGGGTAGATCCCAGATCTCCAATGGCTCCTGGAGGACTGAATAATGGAGGCTGTACTCTGATTCCGTGCTGTAACGTTTTCTCACCTTGTTTACCCGTCGGTAGGGCGGGTTGCACTTTATAGGTGGACTTGAGTCGATACAGTATTTGACCGTGATTGGGATTGGGGCTGTCGCGTGGAAACCTTCACACGACTGCGGGTGTAGTTGTACGGTACTCGATATGCACCACCTTGATCTCTACGAGATCGCTTTGTCCACAATATGTGATTAATTTGCAAGCCTTCTGATCACTTGAGCCGTCTCGCGATCTTTCACCCTTCGTCTTTACTTGTTTGCTGAGTCCGATCGCAGTTGAGGTTTTGTTTGAGAGTCCTTGATCCCTGGCCAAACAGTTTGGGGATACCACTTGATGTAAGTATGTAACGTTTCCTTACGTCGCGTGTCCAGTAGTCCAGCCCGGAGGAAACGTCGACGCGTGTAATTAGAAGCAAAATGAGCTCTGTTCAATGTTAATCAATCAAACCTAAAAAATAACACATCGCTAGGCCCTTATGTATCACGGAGATACGGTGCCACGTGTCTCCTTTCTCCAGAAGATTTTCTTCTTGTACCTATGTGGCCTACACCACGCGCGCCCTCTCTTGAACCTTGGCGTGGTTTGCATCCGATTTGTGCGCAGCTGGCTTGAGGACCTGATATCATATTGGGATCGAGATCTCCGGTCGGGATCGCGATCCCAGGGTCATGTACGATTAATCGCGCGATCTCTGGGCGATCTCATGATCTATAGGTTGTCTCGCGATCTCCGATTAATCATGCAATTGCTGGGTGATCCCGAAATCACCGGTCGATTTCGTGATGTCTGCTTAATCTCGTAAATTCTTAGTGATCTCGTGATCTATGAGCGATCTTTTGGAACCTGGGATACCTAGCGATATCTGATCGATCTCCCGATCTCCGGTGAGATTTGTCTCAGATTGCGTAATCATCCTACAGTAAACCACGTATCCCATCCTTGCCACCAGCGATCTCGCGGTCTGGTACGGTTGAGTACGCGATCGTGAGCCATCATTTCAGATCGTATCTACAATCAG